GGGTTTAGGGTTTAGGGTTTTGATATCAGGAGCAATAAGGAAACCTTGTTCATGGGATCCCTGAGACGCAAACTTCCCTTGGTTCCCATTTTCCATGGATCTTCACCAGGACATTCTCATGTTCCATCCGAGTAGATCCAGGTTTAAAGGCCGTGGGTAATGAAATGCACGCTTTATACTCGGCAAGCATCTCACTCCGCAGATCAGTCAGAGCTGCAGTGAGTGAAAAGCTCTGGCACTCGGCGTCCCCTATGTAGAGCTCTGTAAGCTCCCTGATCACGAAGACAGGAGTTTTTATCCCCTTGTGCGGGCCTCTGCTGCTTTCTCCAGAGCTTTGCCTGCGTCACATGGCACGAATGTAAGCTTCCCAATTCTGGTTTAAAGTGGACATTTCTTCAATTTCCTCGCGGATTGACAGCTTGTCAACCAACTCCTTTACCAGCACCGCTGAGGATCTGCCTACAAGTGTTTAGAGTTTAGGGTTTGGGGTTTAGGGTCTAGGGAGGGGGCTCAGGAATGTTCACTGTGTACAGTGTCTGCCTTGAACTCCCAAAACCTTCTTGCCGTAAATTTTGTAGGCTCCCTATGATGTATTTCGTATCAGGGTTTACAATCAGAACCTACAGAAAGGCAGGCTATAGTTCATTAACGCAGCCTCTAGGGCTTAGGGTTTAGGGATTTGTGCTTGCGCGCTCACCCTTCGACTCGAAACAGCTCGCAAACCTGGTTGTGAACTCTTTTTCTCGTGCCAAGCGTCCAGGGTTGAGGGTTTAGGGGTTTAGGGTTTAGGGTTTAGGGGTTTAGGGTTTAGATCATCAGGAGTGCTCTGTACCGGACTACTTTTGCCCCGAGTGAAAACCGCTCGACCCATCACACCCTCAACCCTAAACCCTACAATGCCCTACAAGCCAAGACCCCACCCCCCACAACTCCAAACCCTATAAACCCTAAACCCTACGCCCCAAACGCAACAAGTCAATCTAAAAATAACGTAAACTCCAAGCCCCGCAACGCCAAAGCGTGACCCCTCCAAGCCAAACGGCCCTAAACCCGACAAAGCCGAAATCTTGAACCCTAAACGGAGACTACTAAACCCTAAAACCCCTAAATCCTAGTCTCTAAACCCTATAACCCTTTATCAAATGGAGCCTGTTTCGGTCCCCAAACTGGTGCGGCAGCCTTGTAAACAGGACCCTGCAAGGTACCCGAATTTGAGAACTAATGTTGGGGCCTGAATAATTTGAATAGGGTTTTGGCCTATAACTACCATATAATCAAAAAACCCCCCCAAACAAAAATAGTATAGGTAAATATTTAGGCCCCTAATAGTATACCCTAAACCCTGAATCCCTGAAACCCCCAAACCCCAACCCCTAAACCCCAAAAACCTATTAACTCCCCTACATTACCCATGAAGGTGCCTCAGAAGTTTGCATAAGGTTTCACTGGGGTTAAAATCCGATCTCCAAAGCCCAGAAGACTGAACCCAAAAAGCCCTTACACCCTAGCAAAAAAGCCCTAAACTCCGGTAAGCCCTTACTATACTTCAGGGTTTTAGGGTTTAGGGCTCCAAATATACCTTGAACATCCCTTATTACTTCTATACCCTAAGCCCTAACCTTATACCTGTAGCCGGAAAGACCTACCGTTTTAAGGGAACTATATATAGAAACCATAATCACGAACCCTGGAAAGGTAAGTCTTTTGGGCTAGAGGTACGTGGGGGTTTCCGAAAATAGGGGACCCTAAGATAGTACCCTAAATAATAGGATCCTTATTATAAGGATCCCCAACATAGGGTACCCCTTATTTTCGGAAACTCCCACGTAGACCTCAAACATGGTCGTCCAAGCCACGACATCGATCAGACTCTCGGGCAGCGGGTGCACTCGGTACACGAGCTCCTTTGCGCTTCTTTCTTGCGGGTTTAGGGTTTAGGGTTTCAGGGTTTAGGGTTTCAGGGTTTCGGGTTTAGGGTTAAGGGTTTAGGGTTTCAGGGTTTAGGGTTTAAGGTCTAGGTTTTAGGGGAGATGTAGCTAGGGATGCCCGATGTGCCCTTCAAATCTCAATTTCAATTGAGGACTTCATTTCAAAATTATGAAATTCAGGCCGGTGATGTCATGGTTTTCAGCTGGAGCTTCGGTTGCAGCTTGGATTAGAGTCCCTGAGACTAGCTTAATCTGCGCGCGGGAATCCCCGATGCCCAACTGTGCACAACGTGTGGTGCAGTCGTCGCAACCGCTTAGCTCCAAGCTTGTGGTCCCGAAGCTCGAACCACAAACTACGCATAGGCCCCATAGTCTTCCTTTTTGTGGCTTCTATTTAGGATCCTATTAGGTCATCCCAAAAAGGAACTACTACGGGGCCTATGGGTAAGCATACCACTTCTCAAATAACGTCAAGCTCGCATCCCTGAGCCCCGGACCCTTCCTAAGTACGGGGTTTAGGGGTTTAGGGTTTAGGGGTTTAGGGGTTTAGGGGTTTAGGGTTTAGGGTTTACGGGCTTCGGGTTTAGGGTTTAGGGGTTTAGGGTTTGGGGTTTAATAGGGTTTAGGGGTTTAGGGTTTAGGGTCCGAAAACCCGAACATGCAGCATCTCAACTTCGAGCCCCAACATAAATCAACACCCTAAGGGTCCAAGTACTTAAAAAGAATCATATACTCTCCCAAATAGTAACCTACATAAATACTATCCTAAACCTAAGTACCCAATTATTGGGTCCTTTAGACCCTTAGGGACAGACCCTCCTTTACACAGCGCCTTGAACCTTGAGCCCCATCCACAACTCCTACTAACGACCCCTACATCCCAAAACCAACCCTGCACCGAAACCCTAAAGCCGTAACCTCGAAACAGGCAAGACCCGTAAACCCATCAGGGGAATTAAAGGTTGACCTTTGGGAATCTATGGAGATTGCAAATTCCAAGGTAAGAATACCCGGAACCTTCAAAATAAGAAACTACTAAACTCCACGGCACCCTAAATAACTCTAAACCGAAACCCTAGACCCTACACGGTACTTCTGAGAATACCCGGGCCTTCATGGGATCTGAGATGCCGCTGGCAGCATCGCCTGACGCAAGGCTTCGTTGCGCACAGGAGAAATTCCGGGGTCGAGTGATTTCGGTTCCAGAGTGTTGAGGGGCTTTAGGGTTTAGGGTTTGGAGTTTAAGGGCTTAGGGCTGATGGTTTAGCCTCCATATTGATGTCTTCCGTTGTCTTCTCCTAAACCCTAAACCCTAAACCCTAAACCCTAAACCGTCTCAGGTTCGGGAACTCTCTCCGGCTCAGGCTCTTTCTTCTTGCCATGGAGTCTGGCGGCCTCCAAAGCTGCAGGCAAATCAAACGTTGCCTTCATCTCATTTGACGCCAGCACCAGTTCAGCTGACGCCAGCGAATCCTTTTCAAGGAAGGAGTCAAGCACATTCTCCAAAACGCCTCCGCTTGCGCGTCATGTCTCGCGGCGTGGGTGCTGGGATATCCTCGTCGTCCCAGCGCTCGCTCTTCTTCAGCTTATCATAAGCATCGCTGCTGAGGCCGCGCTCGTGCTCCTTCCATTCCTCGGTCCTCTTCTTGCGGTTCTGAGCACGATTCAGCTCGGCTCTTCGCCGGCTCTTGTCTTTCTCCTTTGCCACCCTCCAGGGCACGCCGGGGTTTAGGGATTTCGGCTCAAGGTTTGGGGGTTAAGGGATTACGACTTAGAGATCAGGATTTTAGGGTTTAGGGACTTCGGTTCCAGGTCCGGGGGTTGAGGGATTAGGGTTTAGGGTTTGGTACGGGATCTCAGTTCAAGGTTTGGAGGTTAAGGGATTAGGGTTTAGGATCTTCAAGCAGGTGGTAGGGTTGATGCTATAAATCCTGCATTACCCATAACAAGGAATATACCATAATCCCCATAAGTTGAGGGTCCTGAAGGTAATGCAGGATTTATATCATCAACAGTAGGGTTAGGGGTTCGGGCTCCCCTAAACCCTAAACCCTAAACCCTAAAGGGCTCAGGGTTGCGGGGCTTGTGGTTTCATTCATAGTCACGCTCTGCCTTCGGGGCCATAAAGACTCCAAGGACTCCCCTAAACCCCTAAACCTTAAACCCTAAACCTTAAAAAGCCCTAAACCCTAAGAAGCCTAAAGGGGTTTAGGGATTTAGGGGTTTAGGGGCATATCTTCAGGCTTGTTGGCCCAAAGACCATACTTTATAAGGCTTTCGGGCTTGTTTGAGCCTTAGGGTAGAGGTTCGGGGGTTAAGAGACGCAGGTTTCAGGGTCAAGGGTTTGGGGTTTAGGGTTTAAGGTTTGGGGTTTAGGATTGGGGTCTTTCGCTGGAGGCTTTGTGGTTCAAGGCTTTGGTTTGGGTTTGGCGGTTTAGGCTTCATGCTTTGGGGAATACTTGAACTAGGACTGCGGCGTGTTTCCTTCCGTATCTCTACAAATGGGATCACATACCAATTACGACTGAGGCCACTAGACTAGACTATGCACCCTAAACCCTAAACCCAAACTCAGCCTAGAGATTCTTCGCCGGTTTGAGGGATCGCAAGACCGGGCCATCTGAACCCTAAAGTTTTAAAACTCATATATGGGGCTTTCCGAAAATAGGGGACCCTAATATAGTACCCTGAATAGTAGGATCCTTATTATAAGGACCCCCCAAAAAATAAGGCACCCCATATTTTCGTAAGCTCTCCTTCATCATCAGGCCTTATGTGGGGCTCCCCCCAAACCCTAAACCCTAAACCCTAAACCCTAAACCCTAAACCCTAAACCCACATAGTCAGGTTCGGGCCCAGTTGCTGGGACCCTTGGGCTGACACCCTAAGGTAGGAGCCTTAAGAATTAGAATTTAGGGTTTAGGGTTTAGGGTTTTAAGGTAGGAGCCTTAAGAATTAGAATTGGGTTCCTTAAAAGGGTTCCTAAAAAGGGATACCATAAGGGCCATAAGGGTTCTATAATGTAGGGGCCGGTAGATGTTACTATAAGCGTAACAAGAAACCCCCAAAATAGTATTAGTATTTATTAAGGCCCTTACCCTAAACCCTAAACCCTAAACCCTAAACCCTACAACCCTATATTAAGTTTTTCGAAGACCCTGTTGGGGTTCAGGCACCAGCTTGGATCCCAAGTTGGACTCTGGGTCAGGGCGGCAATGAGAGGTGCGGCTCCACGCCATGGAAAACCCCGACTACTATAGTGGCCTCAAGAATTACCTATAGCATTTGGAGGTTCCTCAATAATCATAGGAGGATATCCCCCAAGACCCTGTTCTAATTATCAAGGCCCCTACATTAGACCTCAGAACTCTCCAAAAGCTCTAGAAGCCCCTAAACCCTAAACCCTAAACCCTAAACCCTAAACCCCCCCAGAAAATCCCTAAGTCCGACCTCTCAACCCCATACAGCCCTTCATGGTTAAGGGTTTAGGGCGTTTAGGGGGTTAGGGTTAGGGGTTTAGGGGGTTTAGGGGGTTGGCACAGCCATGCCAACCACTTCATTAGCAGACTGGGTGATCGGAGGGCTAATGTACGGCTCGTTCACAGCTCGTTCACGGGATTAGGGTTTGCTTAGGGTTTAAGAATGAAACCTAAAACCTGAACCCTAAAACCCCCCACATCCTACTACGCTGATCTCAAACAACGGTCCTGCACCGGCGCCGGTGTAGACGAGAGCAACATCCTCCAACTCCTGCGGCCGTCTTCGCATGCAGGGCTGAACTTGAAACCCTGAAGTGCTTCAGGGTTTAGGGTTTAGGGTGTATCCTAAGATTTTGCGATGGTGTAGCGTTTAGGGCTTCTTCAAGGTATAGTGGACTTTCTCCCGCAGGCACGCCCAGGGATTCGGGTCCAATGTTTTCGACTTCCCAAAGCAAGAACCAGGACTCCGACACCACTCCTTCGTATTTGGCGTGCTTGTTGAGGAGTTAGTGGTTTAGGGTTTAGGGTTTAGGGTTTTGGGGGTCCCAATTCCCCAAATTCATGCTGTTGAAGCCTTCGGCAACTAGCTTAGTTCTACAGCGCCGCAGAATACTGGTGCAAATTTCATACCCGGCAGCTAACTAAGAGGGCCTTCGGGATTTTCAAAAACAGCGGTGACGAACGAAAGCAACAACCCTAAAGTAGGAACCGCCATCTGATGTTCAGAAAACCCGGAAACCGGCTATCAAATCTCTCCGATGCAAGAACCATGACCTAACCTTAAAACCAGAAAACCATTAACACCTCCAACTTCAGGCACAAATCCTAAGCCCACGCCAGCAGCTCCTTGTTCCGTCGCTTCCGGTACGGGTTGCAGCAAGAGATGATTCGGACCTGGGACGGCTTAGGGCTTCGGGCTTTAGGAATTCGGGCGATGCGTTTCGGGTTTAGGAGCAGTTTTAGTATTATAGGGCTTGACCCGGACCTGGGATATATACCCTTTGCAAGAAATCATAATGTAGGGGCCTCCACAAATACTTAAGATAGGGTTTCGGGCTACATTATGGTATAATTCTGAGAAGAAACCCTCTGGAAGAAAGTTGGTAATTATCTAGGCTTCTATACTCCAGACCTAAGCCTTCAAACCCCTTTACCAGTACCCCCTTAAAGGAGGGCTACAGATACACCTTAGCTACAGGAGGGTTTAGGGTTTAGGGCCTTTAGAGTTTAGGGTTTAGGGTTCAGGGCGAATCAAGGGATTCGGGGCTCTCGGCAGGATGTTGATAGGCCTCCCGTCGTGAGATGCAAGCAGGTATCACTTGATAGCCAAGAGGCTGCAAAAGCAAAACACAGGTGCGCAGGCCTTCACTAGTGACAAGGGCTCACTCCCTACACGCTAAAGTATAAACCCTAACTCCATCTATCCCTGTATCTGACTCAATAAACCCGTAAATCCCTAAAACCTAAACTTAACCCTAACACCACGTGAAAGATTGCAAACTCTAAAACGAGCTCATGAGCTTCAACAGGCGACAACAAAGTCTGATGGAAAGCTTGCATGACAATAAGTGCCAACATTACTCCCAATGCCCTCTTGCGAAAACTGTAGTGTAATATATCCCTAGCCTCTATGCTACAGTTGTAGCGCAACATGCCGCCAAAACTTTGTTCGTATTCGTAAGGCCCGTGTTCTACAGCGAACACTGAAACCTGGTTGTCATGCGGTTTAGAGCTCACGGCCAGGAAGAGGGAGGGAGAGAGAGAGAGAGAGAGAAAGAGAGAGAGAGAGAGTAAGTGGGAGATCTACACCCTAAACCCTCAACCCTAAACCTTAAACCCTGAACCCTCAACCCGAAACCCTCAACCCTAGACCCTAAATCCTAAATCCAGGTCAAGCCTCAGAAGCTGGTTGTGGAGCCTATGCCCGACACCCCCGACCCACAGGTGGCAGACCTTCTCGGGAATCACCTTGTTCCCGTACATTCGGTCAATGATGATGGTCCTTGGGTTTAAGGGGTTTAGGGTTTAGGGCTCAGGGTGGGCAACAGGTGCAGGCTTCTTTGCTACGTACCATCCACTGGTCCACAGACCTCTTGAGGGGCTCAGCAAGTGGAACCGGTGACAAAGACCCTATGTGAACCGAACCCACGCAATAATGGGACGACTTTGTGCGACTAAGGGCGGCTCGCGAACGAATCTTATCCAAGGCGTGTCTAAGGTTGCTGTCGACAGAAGCTCGCTTGCAAAGTGAGCAGAAGCCACGCATTGTTTTTTTATGGCGCATCGGCGGCCATTGTGTTGTTGCGTCCTTCGATAAGCCCCGGAGATATCAGTGCAGACTTTGTAAACTTGGTAGATGTAGCTTCCCGGAACATTGCACGCTCTTTGGCTGATAGGGCTGTGTGTCTTGAGGTGTAGGGCTTTAGGGTGTAGGGAGCGCTCTCATATTTGTGATTATTTTATAGGGCTCGGAGATATGTTACAATATAGATGCGGTACGGAACCCTGAGCAATAGCAACAGGAATGATCTTGGCTTCTGTACCACCATCAAGACTCAATAGACAAGTTTGGAACAGGGCCCAGGGTCTAGCAAGCGTGAACCCTAGACCCTAAACCCTAAACCCTAAACCCCTAGACCCTAATGAACCCCACACCTCTGTTGAGAAGGCCGAGAAGGGGGATCCCTTAGCATGAAAATCCCCAAAACCCTGGATCACAAACCCGACATCCGAAAACCGGCATTCAAGCAGAGATTCGGGCTGTACTCTAGAAATGCTTGTTTTCGGGTTCGAGGCTCAGGATAAAAGTGTTCGGGTTAGGGGCTTCAGGGATTCGGGTTTACTGAGGCTTTAGATTTGACAAGCTGTACCCTAAACCTTGTACCCCAAACCCTAAACCCTAAGCAGAGTGGCTTGAACAATGCCATGCAGTTTGCAGCGTTGATCTCGTCGAAGAAGACGAGGACCTCAGGGTGCAATGAGGCGATACGTGGTCTCTTCCAACACCCGCGGCTTCGGGTTTAGAGTTTAGTCGTTGAGACTTTGTCACAGCCCACAGATATCGCCGAATCCAAACCCCTGCAGAGTTTACTATGACTACTGCACAGGGGTTCATAAAGCGTCCAGAGTACTTCTAGGTCAACAATATATCCTCAATATTCAATATTCGGGGAACCCCTTTTCCCACTATTCAGCTTCAATAAGGAACCTAGAACCCAAAAGTGCGACTCGGGCCCTCAAGAGCCTTGGCTGCTGCCTCCGCCCTACACCGCACCCACTTATGGGTGTTGGGGCGATTAAAGGGTGGGCACAGGGACTTATGTGTTGGTTCTCGTGTTTTGGGCTCTCGGGGACGGGCAAAGACAAGGAGCAAAGCGGATTAAATCTACGTTTAGGGGTTGTGGGTTTAGGACCAAGCATGGCGGGTTTCGGGTTTAAGGTTAAAGTCTGCGTATTTACACCTCGTACGTGACCGAGGGTTCTTGCTTAGTCTGGACAGCCCTGACCCCTGTCTCTCGACCCAAAGATGAGGTACGTGTAAGATACGGACCTGATGGGTATGAACCGGGTTCTGGGGTAGACTTGACTATACATTCTGAAAAGGGAGCCGCAAGGAATCGTATCAGAACATCTTCCGACCGCTTGATGAGGGTTGATGGTTTCAGCGTTTAAGAGCTGCTTCACCTCCTAAACCAAAACCTGCACCCTGTGCTCTCTCCCTGAATCTCGAGCTCTGCTGTTAATGCTCCAACGGCAGCAACTCCCTGAACGGAGGATGTATATCTACTTCATGTAGATTACCAGCTTCGAGATGTTGAGCTCATCTGGTTGAGCAGAATGTTTCGTCAGCGCATCAGCCAGACAATACTTGGAACCAAAATGTGCCAAGCATCCGGGGCTCTAAACCCTAAACCCTGGGCATTTGTATTTTCTGATGGGCCTCCTTGTGCTCAGGAAGCCTCCTGCCATGGCGTCTGCAACAAACACCGTTTAAGGGCCGTTTATAGGGCTTAGAGTCTTAGAGTGCCTGACGACATCCTCTTCGGGGATGGCGGTGAGGCTGCCGTAGCATGCCGGCTCATCGCATTTTATTCAGAAACGGCCTCTGAAGCGCCTGCATGGCTTTCAAAGATGTCATGTACCCTTAGGCTCTAAGGACTCATATGTTAAGGCTTTTGGGCCCAAACACCATACTATGTAAGGCTTCTAGGGTTTAGGGGTTTAAGGACTATGGACTTAGATCCCCCAAAAACACACAAACCTCTTTTCGGCTATAGTGAGCCTCAGGGGTAGAATAATGTAGCGCCTTGCGCCACTTCGGGCTTTGAGCTTTCGGCTCGCAAAGTGGAGCTATGGGCCTGCCACCATGCTTCGGGTTTAGGGCTTAGGGTTTAGGGCTTCGGGGGTTTAGGGTTTAGGGTTTGGGGCTTAGGGTTTAGGGTTTAGGCTTAGGGTTACGGTTGACGGGTAAAGTTCGAAAACTAGGATTTAGGGTTTTAGGGGCTCTCTTTGCCTCTTGGAAGGAAGTCTGACTCTAAACCCCTAAGGCCTTAAACCCAGTGCCCCTACCAAAACCCAACCTGATATGTGCCGTTACAGGAACCCGTTAGCGGAACCCATAGAGGGCTTAGGGTTTGGGTTTAAGGTTTAGCTACAACCCTAAACCCTAAACCCTAAACCCCCTACACCCTAAAGGAACCCATAAAGGAACACAAGCCCCCGGCCCCCTTGTCACCGGCATTCTTGATGGCATCTTCGAGGAAGGCAATGATACTGGCCTTGGCTTTTTGCCATGGTTGGCTGTAGGGCTTAAGCACTGCACGGTTTCGGGTTTAGGGTTTAGGGTTTAGGGTTTAGGGTTTAGGGTTTAGGGTTTAGGGTTTAGGCACTGGGAGTTTAGGGTTCAAGGGTTGGGTTTGGGGAGTTGAGGATTTCAGCACCTCATCCAGGAATCCTAAACCCTCGAAAGCGTATTCCAGACCTGATGCCCCGAAGTGCAAACCCGTACACGCACACCCTAAGCCAAAAACCCTACATGCCCCAAACCCTAAAACACCAGCTGAACCCTAAACCCTACAGGCCCTAAACCCGAAACTCCACAGTTCCTAAATCCTAAACCCTTATAAACCCTACAGGCCCTATAAGTCCTAAACCCTAAGGACCCGACAGGCCCCACCGTCTCCTATCGGTGGGCTCCGACGTGTGTAGGTGCAGGGCGTCGGACCGAACACAACTCTCGGAGTGAGGGCTCAAGGTTTAGGGTTTCGGGGTTTAGGGTTTTGGGTTCGGGGTGTAGAGTTTAACTTCCTTATGCTTTTTAGGAATTGGGGTTTAGGGGATAGGAGGTAGAGTTTAGGGTTTAGGGGATCGAGCTTACATGAGCTTGAGTTACACAACTCTGCTCTCCTAGCATTTGAGGCGCGCCGGAAGTCCTTGTCCGAGGACTTATGGCTGCAACGTTTAGGGTTTAGGGTTTAGGGTCTATAAGGGATCTATAGTAGGGTTCTATATTAGGTGCCTTAATAATTAGGGTTTAGGGTTTAGGGGTTTAGGGCTTAGGGTTTAGGGTTTGGGTTTAGGGATTCAAGGCTTACCCATAGGCCCCATAGTAGTTCCTTTTGGGGGTTACCTTATAGGATTCTAAACATGAACCCCAAAAAGGAAATACTATGGGGCCTATGGGTAACGATTAGAATGGTGTTGTGGGGTATGTTGTAGATACAGAGACTGTAGGGGGATGATTTAGTAATTAATCAGACCTCCAAAATATATCAGATATGGTTTCATGGCGGTGCCAGGCCGCATCGGTAATGCCGCCGTGGATGTCAAGAGTGAACAGCTTGAAATCCAGCGTCTCGGCCAAGAACTTGACCTTGGGACAGGGAGGCGAAGCACTGCTTTCTGTGAACATACCCTGAACTCAAAGCCTGAACACCAAACCTTCAACCCTAAATCCTAGCCGTTCACGGCTCATGTTCAGGCTACCTGTGACCCCAAACCCTACAAAACAGTAGGCTCCGACTCCTTGACTCCTGAAAACGAGGATTTGTCGGGGTATCGGGTGGATACCTTAACATACCAAAACCGACTTTTTGTTGGCTCTTATTATAAACCCGTATATGGAATTTATAGGGACCCTACAAATAAGTAGGTTTTGGTAGGTTACGGCAGGGTATGGGAGGGCTTACTAGCTGGAATACGGCCTTGAATAGGGTCTTGGGAAGAATTCAGGTGTTATAGTGTATAGTGAAACCTGGAAATTTGGAACATGGATTTAGGATGATTGGTGCTCCCTTAAGCTTTACCTTATTGGCATTAGGACAATGATGTTCCATGTTTCTGGCTTCTACTGTAGTTACAATGGCAACCCTGAGAATAGTTGTTGGTAACGTAGGCACCAGAAAACTTGGACCATCACCATTGAATCATCATCCTCATGCTCGTAAGGTAAACAGTAGGGAATCCGGCACGAGGCATCCTAAACCCACATTCCAAACCTCTGCGGCTCACCATGAAACCGCTGTAGGTCAAAGGACCCGTCTGATTGCAAGGAATCCGAAGAAAGGGACGTCGCTCTTGCGGACACCCCCTGCACCCTACGTCTAGTAAGCCCTAAACCCTAAACCCTGAACCCGAAACCCTAAACCGTTGAAAGTCTGACATCTAAGCTCAAGTCCCCCAAGGCCTTAAACCGTGCACCTTTCACCCTGGGCCTTAAGCACCCAAACCCCTAAACCTACTTCAAGTCGAAGGCTCTGCACAGAAAACCGGTAAAAGCGCCTGTCCCACGTGGCCCACCCAACCGATACATTTCAGGGTTTTAGGGACATGCATAGGTATTCTGTTGCAGGATTTGGGCCGCGGCTGTCTCAGTTTGAACATCAAGAGGCAATCGCGAAAGATCTAGGATGGGACCCTTGGCTTTACAGTTTAGATCTTCAGCTCAGAGCCCCAAAACCCATCATTCCCTTACCCTACAAATGGCCCATGAGACTTGGAAAATGAGTTCGTAGAGCGCTGTAAGGCCTTAAAACTTTTTGGAACTCTACATTAGGGTCCCGGCTTAGCTGCCCAAAATAATACGGACCCCTGATAAAAGAAGGAGCCTAAAAGGGACCCCTAATTTAGAGAACTACCCATTTCCTGAACATCGTTTGGACTCCTCGCATACCCGCTGAGGCTGCCGCCAGCGCCGTCTTGCCACAGCCGGTCTCGCCCATGAGAATCCTGAAATGTGCCCCGGAGGGCCCAGGAACGTTTAGGGTTTAGGGTTTATAGGGTTTAGGGTTTAGAGCCCAGCAACTTCCTGAAGCATACCTAGACCCTCCATCTACCCTCTATTAGACCCTAAATACCCCTTATTCGGGACCATATACCTGCGTTGGAGGGTACAAGGAGGGGGTCCTGGTATGTCTTAAAATCTCCAGGGGCCGTTTATGATGAGAAACCCTAAACCCTAAACCCTAAACCCAAAAGCCTAAACCCCTAAAGTCAAGACAGAGTTACTTCAGTTTTTATGCAGGGGCACTGGTCTCGATTTATGGAATCCTTAAGGGAGGGGGCTCTAAAGAGGGGTATATAACCCAGTAATCCCCAATTCTCCCAAGCACTCCCTTAGGTTCCCTAAGGCTCCCTAG